AGCTGAGCTGGTTTGAGCTGTTTTGTGACTCCTTTGCTCACCTCTTTCTCTTCCTGGCAGTGAAGCACAGTGTGTCCCTACAAATTGTCCTGTCTGAGCACAAATATGGATGTGGCCATGCAGTCCCAAGGCACAATACCATCTAATGGTCTTTGCTTGAGATTCCCTTAATCATCACTCTGTCTTTCCAGTGTCTGCTCATGGACCACACTAACCTCCTTTCCGTTTCTGCATTCTTGTCTACTCTGGACTTGATACATGAATGGACTCACACAATCAGTGATCTCTCATTGGCTTCATTCACTCAGCATAGCATTTCTTGAAACAGTGCAGCAAAACAAGACTACATCCGCATTCCATTGCCTTTTATCAGAGAAAAATATCCCGTGCTGTGGAAGAAACAAAGTTATCCTATAGGGGTAGGTAGCAATGCCCAGCAGAGGGAGCCATAGAGATGACTGAATGGACATTACTATAACCTCTAGGAATCTCAGGAAGAACTCCATGGAGATATAAAGTGAGACCCTCCTAATTCCATAAATAGATCAAAATAAGATCCAGATACAGCAAGTATGAAGCACCCACCCCCTTTAAAAAAAAAGGCTAGGTTATAATTAATCTGGATAGTTCTAGAATCTTGAAGTAGTAGACTATTGTAATTCAAAGACAAAGAAAACACCAACAAAACAACCTACAAGAAAAGAATTGACTAAAGTCCTCATCACTTACTTAGGAGAAATGAAACTAAAATGTCTAAAAAAATATCCCATTAGGATGGCATATGCTTTTATCTTAAATGCAGAGCTCATACAAATTCAAGTGGTTCATAAATTTCTATGTACAAACAAGACTATTTTGACCATTAATCCAAGAATTAATGGTTAATAACTATAAAATGTCTAGCTAAATAAATTTAAATTTTTAGGAAATGAGTTTTTCTTTTACCTTCCCAATTAGCATGAAATTTAAAATTGCAACATACTGATAAGTGAAATAGGTTCTGCACCAATGGGATAAATGTGAATATCATTCTTAAAAAGGCTGAACACATCAGATGTCACTGCTTTATAATGCTGTTTTCAGGCATTTATTCCAAGGAAGCAATATTAAAATTTGCACCCACTTATTAGTCATAGTGTTAGTTATAAGATCAAAATTTTGCAAAGAGAACCTCGTATGCCCAGTCGTCCAGTAGTAAGGCACATTTGCTGCAAGGAATATTATTTCATTATTTTTAAATGATGTTTAATGTCCTAGTTTAAAGGCATAGAAACAATTATGACAAGAGATACAAAAAAGAATATAAGTACTATACCACATCTAACTTACTCATTATGTAGCGGAACATGTTACAATACAATGAGCTATCATTGTGCACATACCAGAGTGATTGCCATGAACTGGACTCAAAGTGTCATTGCTGATGAAGGTGTGAGAACCCCCACACATGAATTGTTGACATGTAAGCTGGTCTAGCACCATCACTTGACTCCATTTAATGAAACTGAAGATATGTATATTTAGTAGTGCAGCTGCCCCATTCATAGGAATAGAAGCAGAGAAATTCCTGCCCATGAGTACTTGCATGCAAGAACATGCAAGAATGTCCAGAGCAGCAGTGTTTGGAATAGTTCAAAATGGGAGATGTCTCTCACTATTAGCAAGGACAAACTGTTGACAACTTGTGCTGAGAGACAGAACCAGCAAAAAGAACAGAGTAGCAAACATTACCACAGAATGTTGAGTGAGGGAAGTAAAACAGAACAATATGTTCTTATGCTTCTTGTGTTCAAACTTAGAAAAGAAAACCAAACCATCTGGCTTAGAGTTCTATCCACAAGTGGTTAGACTAGATAAAAAGAAATGGAAAGACTTCCCTATCTGAGTGGGTTTATGAAGCAGCTATAGTCATCTCTGGCTGGATGAAGTTCTAATCCAGCAGAGAGTAGAGGATAGAGAGCTCCTTTACATTAAGAAATGTTTGATTTCACACCAAGGCATGGTAATTCATACCTTTAATCCTAGCACTCAGGAGGCAGAGGTAGGTTGGTCTCTGTGAGTTAGAGGCCAGCCTGGGCTATATTAATGAGTGCCTGTCGAGGGGGGGGTGGAAGGAGAGAGAGGTATTTGTATTTTTTGAATTGGGGTATGATTACAAAAGTGTTGAAGCTGTGCAGTTAAATTTTTGTGTATCAAGATGCATCTCTTACATTATAAGCTTGGGTGCCATCCATCATGCAGAAGCATGCAGTCTCTAATACTTCAGCTGGTGACTGTGCTTGGAAACAGTTACTGAAGATGCTGTCCCTGGAGTAACAATGATGCCACTCTGGAGTGGGATGAGTCCTTTGCAGTATGGGTAGCATCCTTCTTTAATGAAGATACAGACAATACCACATGGAGCAGACGTCAAGACTGACATGACACTTCTACAAGTAAAGGACCACCAAGGCTCACCAGCCATCACTAGAAGCTGAGATGGATTCTCTTTTCAGAGCCTCCAGAGAGAACTGGCCCTGTAGTTACCTTAAGGCCACACTGTTGTCTCCTTTGTTGCAGGAAGATTCACTTATTTCCTATTAAGTTTTATTATGGAAGTGGTTGAAAACTAATATGTTGTACCTTCCTGTTAAAAAGTAGCTGTAGAAATTCCACAATGTTGTACTTCTGGGGTCTAATTTCTTAGAGAAATCAAAAGAATCTAAAATTTTAAAAAAAGCATTGTATATTCTTTTGGAAAGTTATTGCCAGAGACACAATTCAAGTATAAAGATGAGAAGTTCTAGCTCACAAAAGGCAACTCTACCATGAATTCAGTTATCTCAAGAGCTCAAGGGTCAACAGTAAATGTCCAAGTCCATTAAAACTCAAAGGCAGTGTTCACCCTAAGCTGGCCTGTAAAAATTTCATCCTGAATCTTGATTCTCATTCTTGCTGGAAAATCTCTAGCAGCTGAGGTGACCCTGCACACGGCTTCCTTCCAGGAAGACATTTGTACTTATTCCATTTCAGTCAAGAGCAGATACCTGACTAGAAAGAAGACCTCACTCAGAACCCTTCCGGGTCAAAACAGATGACCCAGCAAAGATGGCTTTGATTATAGTTCTGCCTCCTGCAAGGCAAAAGAGCCCAGTGTCTGCCGAGCCACACACTTGGAGAAACCTCACTGGATTCCTAAACCAGACACTGAGCCTAATCGTGTGAGAATTCCCTTCTTCAATATGTTCTGAATAATCAGGGGTTGCTGTAAATAAAGCCAAGAAGGAGCTATTGATGTGGGAAAGCCATTTTTAAATTTATAAAATGCAACGTCATTTCCACTACATTGGGTTTTCATATAGCAAACAATATAAAATTTCCTGCAGAAAAATAATAATGAGATGGAATAGAATTGTAATAAGGGATTTTTTTTTCAAGCCTGCCTGTCTGCTTGCAAATTTCTGCTTGCAAGCTCACTAGCTTGGTGTACTTTGTGCAAAAACCCAAGGATGATTTTCTCCAACTGTAAAATTAGGGTCAAAACTGCATCCACTGCAGAGTTCCTGGGAAAATTCCATGAGGCAATGTACGAAATGCATTTAGGTTACAATATTGTAGTGGTTCAATTCCAAATTAATTTTAGTTGTGGAAGTAACAATAACACTATGGCCAGTAATAATAACAACAATACTAGTCTTTTCAGATTTATAGTTGAAGTACCTATGGAAATTTCTAGTGGAATTATTTATCATGCTAGCAGCCCCTAGGGGTCATTTGGTCCACCCCTTTAAATTAAACAAAGAAAGAAATTTCTAGTTTCTTAGGATAATCATTCTAAGACTTAATATTTCCTATCAGGAAAAATACAATTCAAATTGGTTTCTTGGTCTGCCAAGTAAGTGGGTTACATGAAATCATTTCTAAGGCACAGTCCATGCACAACCAGTTGTCTACAAATGTTTTTGTCAACCATAGTCTATGTTTCTTCCTTTCCATGACTATTTCTATAATGCTAACTTCTATACTTCTCAATGCAAACTATGACCTTTAGGCTGTTTTCACACTAAAGATTGTTAGTGTGTGTGTTTGTGTGTGCCTGTGCGTGTGCGTGTGTTCATTACATTCCAAAGACATATCTCCCATAAAGCTATGACCTCAGCCTAACTACTGGGAAATTTTCACTTCATCATAGTCTGTTTGCACCAAACTTTAGATTCAGCTGCTTTGAAAGAGATAAAAAACCCCACTATTTTGTAAAACACTTAGAACAATTTTTAAGGACTAGAGAGATGGTTCAGTGGTTAAGAACACTTGTTGCATTTGCAGAAGACATGGGTTCAGCACCAGGATCCACATTGGAAGGCTCAAAAGCATATGTAACTCCAGTTCAAGGGACTTCTGTATGTATATCATTCATACAGAGACAGTCGAGCACACATATACTGATGAGCAAAAATTTCAATTAAAAATCCCATAAATTTTAATGTCTGTGGCATTAGCTACAATATTTAAAAATATAGCCCTTATTTTAAAATTTAAAATATATTTATTTATCTATTATTATTTGTGTGTATTTGAATATGTGCATGGAACCCACAGGACCCTTTGTGGAATTTGAACCCACCATATGGATCTCAGATATTCAACTCAAGTAGTCAGAATTTGGTGGCAAGCTCCTTTACCTATTGCCAACCTTGAACTTCAAAAAAAATTCCAAAATATTATACTTTAACAGTGTTTGGCACCTTAGCGGTATAAAACATTTTGTTATACACATCACTCACGTCCAAATCCACCTGGAGATGAAAAGCTGGAGTCCAGCTCGAGGCTTTGGGAAAGAACGTTAGCTCCTTTTCCGGGATACATTTGTTGGTACTTGGGAAGACAGCAGTGTTGGCTTAAGGAGTTACTTACACTAAGGCTAGGAATGGCCCTTTATGCTTGGGTGGGAGTCCACACACATGAAAGAAGTACAGACACAGACATGTGTTTAAATAGTCTGCTTCCATTTTCCTTCACAGGTGCAAACGTGAACATGAAAACCAACAACCAGGATGAGGAGACACCCTTGCACACGGCTGCCCACTTCGGCCTCTCAGAGCTGGCAGCCTTCTACGTGGAGAACGGGGCCATCGTGGATAGCATGAATGCCCACATGGAGACCCCACTGGCCATTGCCACTTACTGGGCCCTACGCTACAAGGAGCAGGAGTACAGCAGGGAGCACCACCTCATCTGCCGCATGCTGCTGGACAACAACGCTGAGGTCAACGCCCGTGATGATGACTTCAAGTCCCCTCTGCACAAGGCTGCCTGGAATTGCGACCACGTGCTCATGCACATGATGCTGGAGGCAGGTGCTGAGGCCAACCTCATGGATATCAACGGCTGTGCAGCCATCCAGTACGTGCTGAAGGTCACATCTGTGCGCCCTTCTGCACGGCCCGAGATCTGCTACCAGCTGCTGCTGAACTACGGGGCTGCACGGATCTATCCCCCACAGTTCCACAAGGTGAGGCTGCCTTCCGGGGTCTACCCCAAACAGAGGTGTGCTCTCCAGTGTCCCGGTGATTCCAATAACCATGTCTGACCTCTATACGACCTCCCCATCCACCTTTACATCTGTTTGAAATTTGGGCAGAAACTAGAAAGTGAAGTGAGTGCATGAGGGACAAGCAATTGTTCCTACTCAATGTCTGGTCTAAAGACTGCACAACCTGCTTTGGAATGAGTTAGTTTACAGCCAAGAAAGATCTGCACAGTCTTCCAACTTGACAAAAGCTAACAATAATGTCACCTAACATGTAGGGGCCAATAATGACTTGTAAAGAGTTCAATAGATTGTTATAAGCATTTTGTATTTGCTAATTTGATTCCTTCAATAATTCTATAAGGGATGCATTTTCCCTGTTCTCCAGCAGAGGAAACTAAGGTAGCATGTCATGTCTGAGCTTATGCAGTGGTGGGATTAGGACCTGACCTTAGATAATTTGATTCAAGGATTTATTCACATAATGTCATACAGCATGACCTCTTTTCTGAACAATACTAATTAATAATCTCTAATGGGCTGGCAGAGACCAGATGCTAATGATGTTGATATGACCAAGACAAGGTACCTACTCAAGTAGTTTAGAGTCTATTGGGAAAGAAAAACACAGAGAGAGGTCATTTTAATATGCACAGTTCATGATGAAGTAAAGGAATGCAGGCGATGCCAGCATCAGGTTAATGATATTCATTAATTTGCTAGTCAAAATGAATTTAGCAATTAAAACAAACCAGAAGACACTGCAATTCTAAAACTTTAAAGATGTCAAGAAACTTGAGTAATAGTCTATCTAAATGGGGTGGGGCCACTACCTCCCATATATACATACATACATACACACACACACACACACACACACACACACACACATTTCAGGGCATCTGTAGGCACTTAACATCTACAAATTTTCTATAATTTTACCTTTCCTTTCTTACTTCTACTTTGACATCTATAGCTCATTCATTTTAGATTTAGACATTCCATTCATAACAGGGACAAAATAAAAGTGAAAAAGGAGTTGGAATCACACTTTGGTCCTGCTAATTCCATAAGGGAGTGATTGAATAAATTATTTGTTCCCCAAGCCTAAGTTTCCATGTCTGTGAAGTGGGAATTCTTGGCTTAAATTCATTGGCAACAGTATCTGAACATAGTTCTTTACAAGAAGATTTATACCTGCTTAGTGCACCACACATACCTAAAGGATGGGACCAGGAATTTCTTACTCTTTTTCTTGAGATGCTTTCCGTCCTGGCAGACTGGTACTCCATTTCTTACCATCACCATCTCTCTGTATTGATAAACATTTCTCCTTATATCCCACCCACACCCCACCAGGCTCTTCTTACTACTTACAGTAGAATTCTAAAAATCCAGCAAATTGTCTCCTCAACACAGCTCACTTTAGAAAGTGTATTTTTGATGGGCTGGGGAGCAATTAAAGCACTTGTTGCTCTCACATGGTGATTCTTCCAGGGTTAACAGTAAGCACACAGTCTTGAGTTCCAGGGATACTGGCTGCACCATCCAAGTTTCTTACTTGGTTTTGTTTGCTCCTTAAGCTTCCTGTGGTCTGGCTGATTGCTAAGGAGATTTAACATAGCCTTGACTATTGCTGCCTGGATGCTATTGTCAACAGTTTTATCACTACCCCTCAGATGTTTGTGAGACCGGGAAAGTGGAAGAAAAACTATTTAATTTACTATGCAGATGCCTGAAAGTGATTTAGAACGCTATACTACAGCCAGACTCTCCTAAGAGAAAGTCATCTTTACGACAGGCAAACGACTGACTCATTTATCCAGAAGATAAAGTGATGCGTTCTCTCCTGGACGGGGAATTCGGTTTCCTTATTTAAAAGAGCAAGGTCACAGCTGCAGGTGCTGTCTTCCCAATGCAGAGTGGATGGAGAGAGGGTGCACTTCACTGCAAGCCACAGTATAAATTACATAAGTGAGATGGTGAGGGGTGGGGAGAAAGATAGGGTCTGCGATTGCTTCCCAGGGTACAAAAGGACGTTTGATTTTTTTTTTTTTCCTCTTCTAGCATAATTCAAAAGGAAGCAACACCCCGGGGAGCCAACATTGAGATTTCTTGTAGGGCAAGAAATAAATTTTTTTTTCCTAGGGAAGGGAACGATAATGTGAGGATTTGGGGGAGGTAAGGGTGATCTCTGCCATTGAAAAATGTTGTGTGTGAAGCCTATTGCTCAAGGTTCCCTTGATAGCAAGTGGGGATTTTTTTTGTGTGTGTGTGTACAAAAATATAGAGCTATATAATATTCAAGTATCTTTAGGATAGTTTCTTACTGAAGTGTCTTACAAGTGGCCTTTGAAAATGTTGGGAGAACATCTTTAATGTGTGTGTGTGTGTGTGGGTGTGTGTGTGTGTGCGCGCACCTGTGTGTGCTTGTGAAGACACTATTTAACATTATTCATGCATGGATTTTTTGTCGTTAATATCTAGAGTTGGGGGTATTTTCCTGATACAGCCATAGCATATGTTGACTTCTGTGTTGTAGATGTCCCTGTTGTGGCTTGTTTCAGGCTCCAGGGATCCAAGGTACAAATGGAACAGATGTGGTGACCTTGTGGCCCACCCCTCCTTTCTGTAATATCTGTTGCACAAGGCCCTACTCATTTACACAGCATCTGCTTGTTCCTGAGCTCACCAGAGCCGAATTTCATTACAAGCTATTTAGCAAAGAACTTCTGTGTTCATTGGTTCATGTTTTCATGAGGCAAGTTCTGGTAAAATACCATCTCAGCCCCTAGACTGTGTTTTCCTCTCTGCTATTCTGTTCAGCTGAGAGACGGAGGGGACTGAATTGGCTTACTGAACCTTGGACCCAAAGAACATGTAAGATCTTTGTGATATTTGTTCATGGGGGGGGGTGGCAAGACCCCAGAAACAAGCTCAGCTCCTAGAGAAAGATCTGCAGTGAGAGGGCAGAAAATTCATTTCAGAGTAGAGCTTCAGAAGTTCCACGTGGCTGATAGTTAAACAGTGTCTGTAATCAGCCTTCCACAGTGAACATGGCTTTCTGATCTCCAGTTGTTTGTCACCCTTTCTTATTTTTAATGGGTTCTTTATACACAAGGGAATATTACCTATGGGGCTGCTAAAACCCTAAATGCTACAACACAGAATGTGTCAAAGGTGAAATCTGACGCACACATTTTACAGTTCACCCAAAATGGTGGAAGAGCTTTGGTGGGCACGGAAGCTTATGTGGAGGGGTGTGTGTGTGTGTGTGTGTGTGTGTGTGTGTGTGTGTGTGTTAAGGGCGAGGAATCAACATGGAGAGGAGTCTGGGCAAGAAAGATGGGTGTTCCAAATTGTGCCATCTGCAGACTTCACACAAGTCTTCCTACGGGCAGCAGAGACAGTGTAGAAGGCTCTATGTGAAACTATACTGAGACTAACCAAGAGATTCCCTTCCTCTCATTCTTCCTCAGCCAACTGGCAGGGAGGTGATGCATGACTGCACACACACACACACACACACACACACACACACACACACACACACAGAGAGAGAGAGAGAGAGAGAGAGAGATGGTCCACACACTCCACAGATCTTTATACTGTCCACAACATGTCCTCTATGAGATTTGAACTGACTAACTCTAGTTCACACAGCTCTCTGGTGTGGGATTAATTCAGTTTTTATATTTAAATCCCCCCCCATTCTATCTTTACTTTTGGTATTTGGGGGGCAGGGCACAGTGTGTATCCCAGGTTGGCCTTAGACTCCAGTCCTGCTTCAGCCTCCTCAGAACTGTGATTATAGGCATGCACTGGTTTGTGAGAACTATGACTCATATGCACACACTAAGGGACAGAATTCTCCATTTTCTCTGCAGGTGATCCAGGCTTGCCACTCTTGTCCCAAAGCGATTGAAGTTGTGGTCAACGCCTATGAGCACATCAGATGGAACATTAAGTGGAGAAGGGCCATCCCTGATGACGACCTGGAGGTAACCACTCTCTTGCTGTGCTCTTCACTACCGAGAGCTACTCTACTGATTCTCTAGATGTGCACTCAGTCCTCTAACTTAAAACACTGGTTTTGAGGATGCTTTCCAAGCTTTCTCAAATACCATGAAACGAAGGATATAAACTTTAAGTATGAGAGTGCAAATCTCTATCTCCGTGTGTCTGTCAAGTATGGGATATTAAGGAGTCTCTTGGGGGGGTTCTTTGAGAGAAGTTTGAGTAAATATATGAAGGTGGCAGGTTTATTTTCCATCAATTTAAATGAATTAAGTGATAATATCTGGTATTGCTCACTCAGGATTGTTGTTTTTCCAGGAAAGTACAGTATTTGTGAGGTATTTCACTCACTTTTAACTGACTAAGCAGGAAGCACTGTTTCAGAGTCTGCAGTGAGCCACATGCAAAGCCCTTAGGAGAGCCATGTCCTCACTAGTGGGCTGAGAGGGCTGGCTCCATCTGTAAACTAGCCCCTCCCACAGAGCATCCTGTTTTGGTTTTAGAAGTCAAGGTTGTGTCTAATACATGAAAGGTACGAGGCACAAAGTTCCTTGAGCTTAGAGGCACAAAGTTCCTTGAGCTTAGAGGCTAATAGCTTAGTTGTATGATCTTATTCTGCTAATTATTAGCTCTTTTACCTTGTAAAGTTACTTGCCTGCTGAGTACCACTAGTCGATGTTACCAGATGCACAAAGAATATGCAATAATATTGAGTTAAATTAAAATTGCCATTTTGGTTTAATGGTCTGGGCAGTTAAGCATGGTAGCCCATATCATGTCCTGGATTATAAATGCATTTCCCCTACCCTTACCAGCATTATCATGCCTCACTTCCTGACCTTTCTATTTTCATTTTGTGCTCAATTTTGTTCACTTTCAGAGATTCTAGGGAGCTCGCTATTCTTGTGTGTAAAGGAGAGACACATGCATCATTGTAGATTTTTTATCTATGTAAGCTATAGAGTCTTCCTCAAATTAACCTATCTTGTCTTGCTTTCCAGAAACACTGGGATTTTTACCACTCTCTCTTCAAGGTGTGCTGCAACACTCCCAGGACCCTCATGCATTTAGCGAGATGTGCTATTCGAAGAACATTGCATGAAAGATGCCACAATGCAATTCCTATGCTGTCCCTCCCATTGCCTTTGAAGAAGTACTTGCTTTTGGAGCCAGAGGGAATCATTTATTAAGTCTTAGGATACAACAGTTCCCACTCTTAGATGCTTAAGTGGACTCGCTGGGTAGACACAGTTTGCATACATAAAATGGTACTTGGGTTGATTATAACACTTTAGGGATTCCAAAACACTTTACAAAAACCATGTCATTAATCCTAGAGTAGAATGTTGAGGGAAAATAAGCAAGGAAAGTTAAGGAATTTTCAAAGACATGACTGCTTTTAGAAGGCAGACACTGACATAGCAGTAATAGCTCTTATAAGTGACAGATTTTATTAGGTACCCCTTGTATTTTGTAAAACTTCCACATATGATCTCATATAAAAGGGACCTACATTTTCTTACAACCCAATCTCATTCTCTACATTGTCAGTATTAGGTTTACATGACTGTTTAGTTTGCAATGTAGCAGGTTTTGTGAGTGGCTTCTTAAGCTTGCTGTCTCCCTCCAATGACCAGCAAGCAGATGTTGCTGTTACTAGTTTTAGAAATGCCTCCTCCCCAAACCAAGGTCATCCAGGAGTGCAATGGGAACAAGATCTCTGAGTCAAGATAGAAATGGGAAGGAGAGAGCAGTTCACTTAATAGTCTAGGAATAGACATTTCAACACACTCACTGAGCCGGACACTGGAGACCACACATGAGCTCCCCAGGGTCATATCTTTAACAGAGGGTCCAGACATACAAGCAGGTGACTGCAGTATGAAGTTGTCGGGGTAAGAGTACAGGTGCAGATTCATAGTTAGTGCCTACCGTTTGGAAGTGTGCTTTTGACTTGAAGTGTGTGATTTCTTTTTTCATCTGAACCATGAAGACAAAGCATGCAGAGTTATGTAGAGGGACCTGCTACTAGTAGAGCAAATGCCTTTGAGTTTCTCCTAATAATCAAGACAGGTTTTATTTTGTATGGCTGCCTATTTAGTACCTTCACAGACCCTGAAAAAAGTAGTCTATACTCTAGCTCCCACGTAGATGAGAAAGAGGTTTAGGGAAGTGGACAAAAGTGCTTGTGAAGGAAAGAACTTAGTTGAAATTTTTTTTTCCCTTTCCATGTCATTGATTGGTATTTTAGATGCTAGATAAGGAACCTGCATTTTAACAGTGGCTGCCTTCATAGTGTAAGTAGAAAGACTTTGGAATGCTGAAAACGTAGGAAGCATAAAAAGAAATATGTTGTAAGACTTAATTGGGAACTGATTTTGTAGCAGTTCAAGTAGTAGTAGGAAGTGTAGAGTGTGTACCTCTGTAGTGTATTTGTGTGTGTGGCCTTGCTTCTTGTTTGCCGTTGGATCTGTTGTGTTGACTAGCAATGATGTCAAATACCCCAGTAGTTCCCCACTTAGTTGTGTTTGTAAAACTGAGTCCTACTTACCCCCAGAGTTGTGTAGAAAAACTCATAGGTGGACGTGATCATCTTTTTGAAGTTGCAATTTAGCTTAGCTAATTTCAGGAAAAAAGTCTGTATTAAAATAAGATCTCAATCACTGGACAGAATGTTGAATTTTGTAGATTATACATAAAGAGTGGTTTGCTGGACTGAGTGTTATTTAGAACATATCCCAGAATATTCAAAGGGTTGGACATTTCTTCCCATCACAATGAACATTCTGGCAGAAAAGTGTGTGATAGACTGATTTAAACAGGTAACGTGGGCTGAGGACAAGCAGAAACAGTGTTCCTCATACTCATATAGGGAGATAGATGTGTTTGTTACTGTGTTGCTGTGTTGGAATGTTTGCCTTAGTCTAGCATAGAATATGTGGTTACTTGTTTTGAATTGCTTGTGTGTGAATTTAATGTGATTATCTCTGTACTTTGAACTTTAACTTAGAGATCTCAAATAAAGCTTTGGTGTTCCATCTCATTGTTGTGAGTTATTTATCAATAAGACTCGTCTTCCTCATACAATATTGACTCTTCAATGGTGACACAGAAAAAGAAAAGTTCTTCTACATTACGAAAGAGTGGCAGAATGAAGAATTGTGTCTGTCAACAAAGAATGTTTTCTAAAGAAAGTAAAGGGGAAAATGTGTCTGGAACAGAATAAAATGGAAGCTATTGCCATTTTAGTAAGTGTACTTTAATAATAAGAAGAAAACTGAACTGAATGCATCTGGTCCACTTCTTACCATCTCTAGCATTCTGGGTTTTTCATTTCCCTCCATTCTCACTGTTTACTTAGCCCTGGACAAAGCCACAGAGGAAATTGTGCCCTCACGATGCCTTTGTACTTTCTGGGAGTGCTTTCTGTAAATAGACATTTCATGTCCCAAAGAAAAACAACCCTCTTCAGAATGTTCCCGGAGAGGTGGCAGCTTTGATAAGAGAGAGAGCCTCCGCTCTGGCCTTCTGCCCTTCTCTGCATCTACACACACCTGTGTTCTTGCTTTTAATCACCCAGGGTTACAGCTCTACTTGTCCTTCCATTTGGAGCCCAGTAGGTTCTGATAATGACTCTGTAGTGGGAAGAAGATGGGGGATGGTGGTAAGGAAAGTGGCAAACCATTTGCAGTGAGTTACCATCCTGGGAAGAGGCAGTAACATATTCCATCTTGGTTATTCAACAACAGTCAACTGTGACAAAATCATGAAGTTCTAAATTCACATACTTTTTGAAACTTTTAAAGAAGAGTTTAACTATTGACTACTTTGAAATGCAAGTATCGTAGCCAGACTCCTTGACACATGCTATAGACATGTTATAGACACACACTTGACACATGCTAGGCAGACACACGAAACTCTGGGCTCTGGCATTGTCTTGTTTTTATCCTGTTTTTCACCCTCCTGTCACCCCAAATTTGTGGAGAATGGTATATCTGCTCCCTGGTTTATTTCACATCTTTAACATGGAACTAAGAGTGTTACTTACCTCACAAATCTTTAACAGGATCAGTTTGAGGACCAAATCAGTACAGAACATGCCACACAGTAGCCATTTTATTATTGTCACCACCTTTGATACCATTAGAGTCTCTGTAATTTACAGGTATGTATCTACAAGTGGGGTAATGTGACCTTTGACTAAAACTATCACTGTAAAAGGTGCATGGGAGACCCCTGTTTGCTTTGGGAATCAAGGAAATTTGACTCAACTCTCACTGTGTGCCAGGCTCTTCAGGGATGGGGGGAGGTCAGTGAGGACAGGGTAGATAAGATCTAGAACTTCCCTGGGCCTTTCTGACGTGAAGGATGGGAGAGGAAAAAACATTGTTGTGGTAGATTAGCAAACAAGCAAGCAGATGACTTTTGAAACATAGCTGTTTTATAAGTTTATATGAGAGGCAATGGCTCCTTTTTCTATCTGGTTGGTTGTAGGATCACTTGAGAAATTTCCAAAGGGATGGAGAGGGTTGTCCCTCTACTTCTGTCTTCAGTGAGAAAGGAATAGGAGGACCCAAGGAGTGTGGCTCATCAGAAGATTGCCAAAGGCAGTCACAGAGTAGGAACTGGGAAGACTGGAGAAACCTACTCATTTATCTCAGCACTCCGGTCAAGAGGCAGATGGATCTCTGGGTTTGAGACTAGTCTACAGACTGTTCTAGGACAACCAAGGCTACACAAAGAAACCATGTCTCAAAAAAAACAAACAAACAAACAAACAAAAAAAACCAATTCAAAACAAACAAACAAAATGAAACCCCACCCCACCCGCCCAAAAGATTCACTTTCGGTAGCTCAGTGCTTTAGTCTATTTGTTTTTACTAAGAACTCAAGAATGAAACGAAACAGTGTCTGTTTTAATTAGACACTAATTGAGCTACTTCTTTTGGTTTTTTGTTTGTTTGGTGCTTGTCATAAAATGATTGATTGGGTTGAGTTTTGGAAGCCATATTTGGTAACTGTATTACAATGCTACACTGCCTTATTCAAGTGTGTGGTCACAGATGAGATGCAACCCATAACACGGCCTGGTTTTCTTTTTTTTCCCCCTCCTGTCTTTTAAACAACATGAAGTAGATTAGTTGTACTTAAATTTGTTCTTTACTAATTGGTTTTCTCTGATAGAGGTATGCCTCAATGATGTTGGCTAACAATTATGCAAACATATGCTAATTCAGTCCAGGAAATAAAATAGGGATGCACTTTGTATTTTCAAAATTAAACATGGTCCTGAATCAGTTAGGTTTTTGTGCTTACTAAGTAGGGGGGAACTAACAAAACAGAGCTCTTACTATGGAGTATATATGGGGAGGTTGAAGACAGGTAGTCAACTCAGGACCCCAGATACTGTGTGCTCAGAGACATAAAGGAAGACCTATCCTCCTCCCTCCCCTTTCCAAGTCTGGGAAAAGCTGAAAGTCAGGCTAATGGGCAGTTAAGTGCTAATGGAAATTTTAAGCCATTTGATGGAGGGAGGAAGGGAACCATACAACGTGAGTTGCCTTCTGAAATCACTCCCTATTTATCCTGCTGAGGGTCTTGGCAGGATGACTTCCATGCATATCTCAATTGGAATCCCAGCTCGTTGGATCCAGTCAATGGGAACAACAGCAGGAGATGACCTAGTCCTGGCTCCCTCTTACTGGGCTGCTTGCAAGGGATTGGGTTCCTTGACATGACCACACCACCTGTGAGGCTCCTCTCTCTATGTTTCTCTCTCCCAGGGTTATTTGAGTTGCTTTCTCCCTTTGTCCCTTCAGACCATGATGAAGTCAGCTTCCACTGAACAATCTTTGCTCAGGGCACTTCAGCAGGCTTTGCCTTTTCCTCTGTGAATAGAGTTTGGATAACTTCTCTCCAGGTTCTACTTGTGGGTCCTCTAGGGATCCTGAGGTGGAAAACCACACACTATTGCTCAGGCAATGAGAACACGGGAGTGGAGTTGGTATAAGTGGTACCGGGGTGCTCACTGTGGCCAGGGAAGGCAGTCAGCAGACAGACAGGTGGTAGATCATGATTCAAGACAGGATGGCTCTAACCTTAATGGCTTAAGGTTAGAGAAATAGTTGGCATTGCAACAAATAGTGAGAGTCATCTACATCTATCATATGGACGTGATGGAGGGAGAGAGGACCATTTTCTATAAGAGGGAAGAATGAGGACAGCAATTGCTAGGGTAACATGGCAAGATGTCTTGGATCATGGGGGAAGAGTCCTGGAGAACCATTATCACTCTCATCTCCACTGTCCTTAACACATCAAACTAACAAACAAATGATAAATACTCAGCCTGGAAAAGTATGTATCCATGATGCTAACTAATGCTTTCTCTTTGCCTATAAAATACTTCAGTCTTACAGACTGATTTAATTTTGAGGGGGACAGGGAGTATATCTTGAAATATCCTTTCATTTTTAAAATACCAAAACACAAGCAGTTTGAAAAACATTGATTAAGGAAGATACTCTTTCCCAGGGCATCAGGGACTGATGGAATGGAAGCAGGGTTTGGAGCTTCAGGCCTCTGTAGTCCCCAGCAAGGCAAGCAGGACTCAACAATGAATTGTTTATGGAGGCAGAGGCATGATTGCAGGCCTTCAGGGTCATCCCAGGATTGACATTAGATGGACC